TCTACCACTTGAGCCACAGCGCCACTTCCGGCTTTTTTCTTTTTGCTTATGTGGTGCTGAGGAATCGAACCCAGGGCCTTGAGCATGCAAGGCAATCGCTCTACCACTGAGCCACCTTCCCAGCCCTACATCTATTTTTCGCCCTGGCATCGATCCCAGGGCTCTGTTCTCGTCCCTGGAAAGCCAAAGTGGTGGGTCTCACACTCGCATAGGCATCAGCATCACCTGGAGGGGTTGGGATAAGACCAGTGATTGGTCCTGCACCCAGTGGCTGAACAGACCAGCCTGGGCCGCAGCCTGGAAACTTCCAACCAATTCCAAGTAACCATACTTCAAGCACATCTAGAGGAGAGGAATCTGACTCAGCAAACAGCTGTAATGGTGCAAGTGGTCAGGTGGCCCGGGAGATCTCTGAGATGGGGGAGGGAGAGGAACCATGGCAGGCCTCAGACACGTGTGTGTCTGTGTGTGCACACGTGTGTGTATGCTGGTAATAGGGCTTGAACTCAAGGCCTCACACTCTCCTTTGTCATCATTCAAGTCTCAGTACATACAAACAGCCAATACCAGCAAAAATAAACAAATGAACACGTCCCCCCCCCCACACACACACAATTGCCATCCACCTTTGGCTCAAAACGGTTGAGGCTGTTTGTCTGAGGCTTAGGAAAGTTGTGTGACTCACTTAAACATTTGAAGTTTATGGAGCAGGATGGGAGCTCAGTAGATTTATAAAGCAATTCTGCCTTGGATTTTTTTTTTTTTAATACTGGAAGTACTGGGGATTGAACTCAAGGCCTCTTCTAGCTAGGCATTACTCCAACTATCATTTGAACCACATCCCCAAGAAGTAATTTTGCTGGAAGTTTTTTTTTTTGGGTCCGATCGTGGGGCCTGAACCCTGGGCCTGGGCGCTGTCCCTCAGCTCTTCAGCTCAAGGCTAGTGCTCTACCACTTGAGCCACAGCGCCACTTCCGGCTTTTTTCTTTTTGCTTATGTGGTGCTGAGGAATCAACCAAGGTCCTCAGGCATGCAAGGCAAGCGCTCTACCACTGAGCCACCTTCCCAGCCCCTGCTGGAAGTTATTGTTCTACCACTTGAGCCACAGCTCCACTTCTTCGGGCTTTTTGACACTTAATTGGAGATAAGAATCTCATGGTTTTCCTTGTACCTCAGTCCTCAGATTTCAGCCTTCTTTTTTTGGGGGGGGGGGGGAGGCTCCAGTCATGGGGCCTGAACTCTGGGCCTGGGCGCTGTCCCTCAGCTCTTCAGCTCAAGGCTAGCGCTCTACCACTTGAGCCACAGCGCCACTTCTGGCTTTTTTCTTTTTGCTTATGTGGTGCTGAGGAATGAACCCAGGGCCTCAGGCATGCAAGGCAAGCGCTCTACCACTGAGCCACCTTCCCAGCCCCTGCTGGAAGTTATTGTTCTACCACTTGAGCCACAGCTCCACTTCTTCGGGCTTTTTGACACTTAATTGGAGATAAGAATCTCATGGATTTTCCTTGTACCTCAGTCCTCAGATTTCAGCCTTCTTTTTTTGGGGGGCGGGGGGAGGGTCCAGTCATGGGGCCTGAACTCTGGGCCTAGGCACTGTCCCTCAGCTCTTCAGCTCAAGGGTAGCACTCTACCACTTGAGCCACAGCGCCACTTCTGGCCCTTTTTTTCTGCTTATGTGGTGCTGAAGAATCGAACCCAGGGCCTCAAGCATGTAAGGCAAGTGCTCTACCACTGAGCCCCCTTCCTAGCCCCCACTTTTTTTTAAATCGGTCTTGGGGCTTGAACTCTGGCCTTGGGGACACTGTCCCAAAACTCTTCAGCTCAAAGCCCAGCACTCTTTTTTTTTTTTAATTTTATTT